CCACTGCACTCCAGGCTGAGTGACAGAGCAAGATCCTGTCTCAAGAAACTAAAAAACCTTTGAACCACTTCTATCAGTAGATCCTGAAACACTGCCTTTGCAATGGCTATTTTGTTTACTTCAAAGGAGCTGATTTAAAAGGCCAGAAAACAGCAAAAAAAGTAACCCAACAGTGATTTAACATTTGACATTTTAAACTGTACCTCCAAAACTAAAGTTAAAACACAAACGAACCCACTTATCATCATGTGCATCATGATGTGATGTCAACATGAGACACTGTACAAGACAACTGATCTAATTTCTTCAAAAGTCAATTGCTTTTAAAAAGAGGGAGGGAATAAGTAAGGGGGATTTGCTCTAGTTCAAGAGAATCAGTGGTCAGGTGCAGTGGCTCACACCTGTAATCCCAGCGTTTAGGGAGGCCAAAGCGGGAGATCACTTGAGCCCATGAGTTTGAGGCCAGTCAGGGCAACACAGCAAGACCCCACCTACACACACACACACACACACACACACACACACACACAGAGCGAGGTGTGGTGGCACATGCCTATAGTTCTAGCTAGTTGGTAGGGTGAGGTGAGAAGACTGCTTGAGCCCAGGAATTCAAGGCTGTAGTGAGCTATCATCATGCTACTGCACTCCAGCCTGGGTGACAGAATGAGATCCTGTGTCTTAAAAGAAAAAAATACACAGAGAACTATGGACATAACAATCAAATGCAGTGTGTAGACCTTATCTGGATTCTGTTTCAAAAAAGATATTTTTGTCCGGTGTGGTGGCTCACACCTGTAATCCCAACACTTTTGGAGGCAGAGGTGGGTGGATGACTTGAGTCCGGGAGTTCTAGACTAGCCTGGCCAACATGGTGAAACCCCGTCTCTACTAAAAATACAAAACTTAGCTGGGCGTGGTGGCGCATGCCACTAGTTCCAGCTACTCGGGAGGCTGAGGCAGGAGGATCACTTGAACCTGGGAGGCAGAGAGAGGTTGCGGTGAGCCAAGATCACGCCACTGCACTCTAGCCTAGGCAGCAGAGAGAGACTCCGTTGCCAAAAAAAAAAAAAAAAAGGATATTTTTGGTATAAATGGAAAAATATTATGAACTGTTATTAGATAACATACTATTGATAACGGTGTTAGATATAACATTGAAATTATGTAAAAAAATTTTTTTTTTACAGATGCATACTAAAAAAAAACCAGATGAAGCAAATATAACAGATGTTATATTTTATATATAAATGTGTTAATCTAGCTGCTCTAGGTACACTGTCTATGGGTTAGTCCTGCTCCACAAGGAGCAGTCAAAAAAAAATTGTTAATCTAAATTATGGGCATTTGATGGCTCACTACACTACTCTCTCTACTTTTCTATGTTTGGATAACTTTACAGTCATATTACAACACATTCGTCAAAATGACTTGATGTGTGACACTTGTGCATCATTAATATCTGCTTTACTCACCGATTACCAATTTCTTCCCTGTGTTTCAACAGGGCTTGGTTGGCCATTTCTGGTTCTTCAAATTGCACATAGGCTTCCCCTGTTTTTCGTCTCCCTCTGTAGTCCATCACAAAAGTAATGTCAACTATATTCAGTCCTAGAACACGAAAAGAGTTTAGTGCTACTAGCAGGTTTTTTTATCCTTAGAATTAACACCATCATTCAAATACTAATAAAATTTTTATTGTTTTGCCAGTCCCAAAACTGAATACATGCTTGATAGGAAAAAATTTATTATGCAGTCAAAAGTCAGTAACACCTACACACCCGTATCTCCAGAATAGGTAGGGTCCAAGAAGCCCACTCAAAACATACAATTCTCCCCATCTTTTTTTTTTTTTTTTTTTTTGCTGTTAATTATATACTAGGAAACAACAGAAATCATAGACTTCACTGTTAATGGTTCTAGGAATTAGATAATACCTTTAAATTATATAAATTGTTATTGTCTTACACAAATATAGCCAATTATGAGAAGTTACTTCCTTCAATAGTAAAACCCTCACGAAATTATTTTGAAATCTGACTTCCCTCCTAAAATCTGCCTGATAGAAAACACATATAAAATCTATAAATACTAGAAATTTAAGTGAAGAGCTCTCCCCTAAAGAACCTAATATAACTGCATGCTATTGCCCAGAAAGAGGCTCATCTCAGATATAGAAGATAACAAGGGGAAAAAGATATGAGCTCCCAAGCATAATATAACTGCAAAGTACCTGCAAAGAAATCTACAATGTCTTTCTCATTGCAACTGTAAGGAAGTCCTCTCAAACGAACCACACCATCATTTACCACAGGTGAAGATTTGACCTGCAAGCTCTTCATTAAGGCATCCACATCTTCATTGTTTATCTCATACACTACGAAGAAAAAACACAAAAGGGATGAAAATTTACATAACAAAGGAACAAATCCATTTAAAAAAATCACTACAACTTGGTGGGTTATCCAAGAATTCAAAACTAATTCTTTTAATCTTTATGCACTTCTCTAGAGAAAATAACAAATGACATTTATCGCATATTTACCATGCAGGCATAACTTCTTTAATTCTCACAGCTTGTAAGATACTTGTCAGCCGGGTACAGTGGCTCATGCCTGTAATCCCAGAACTTTGGGAGGCCAAGGCGGGTGGATCACCTGAGGTCAGGAGTTTGAGACCAGCCTGACCAATATGGTAAAACCTCATCTCTAATAAAAATACAAAAATTAGCTGGGTATCATTTGCCTGTAGTCCCAGCTACTTGGGAGGCTGAGACAGGAGAATTGCTTGAACCCAGGAGGTAGAGGTAGCAGTGAGCTGAGATCACGCCACGGCACTCCAGCCTGGGTGACAGAGCGAGACTCCATCCCGAAAAAAAAAAAAGATTAACTTGGTCAATATTCTCATAAGAAAGTTTATCTATGTTTTATTCTCACAACCTATAAAAGAATGCATTCATCTAAATACTTCATTATTAAGGATCAAATAAAAACTGCCTTGAAAAGTATAAAACCTAATGCAATGAACCCAAAATGTCAAAATCTGACTTCACATACCTTCCACATACCGCTGGCCCATGTACATGCGGTGCTTCTCTAAGGCTTTCTGCACATCCTGCTCTGACTCCATTTCAATTAAGGCATCACCCCTTCGTTTCCCATCTCTATTTAGGAGGAAATGTATTCCATTCTCACCGTTGCGGATTCTGCAGTCTAAAAGTGTATGAGCAAAATCAATTGAAAACAGAAATCAACCTTTTAGCTCAATTATGTAAGTCACGAGAATGCAATTTTCCAACAAACCAGGAAACAAGTGTCATATTCCTTACACAAATCCCCATCTCTTAAGCCATCCAAACACCAATAAGAATTTAGTCTCTAAAACCTTCCAAGTAGAAAAGATAAGCAAATCTTAGCACAGAAGCTTATGATCTCCTTCCTGATCATTAAATGGCAAATAAGGATAGGCCCAACACAAAATTCATTATTTCTATTCCAATGTTTCTACAATCACTTAAGGAAATACAATATAGTTAAATTCATACATAAGTGTCTCTTCCTTTAAAATCATATCCATAGGACTCTAAAGTATTTCCTCTAAGAATAATTTTATTACCATAATTTAATTTTTTTTTGTTTTTGTAGAAAGGGGGTCTCATTTTGTTGCCCAGGCTGGTCTTGAATTCTTGTGCTTAAGTAATCCTCCCACCTTAGCCTCCCAAAGTGCTGGGATTACAGGCATCAGCCACCACGCCTAGCCTTTTTGCCCTTTTCATACTGCATACTTTTTATAATGGGAGTAAGTCCAAGATGTAAGTGGCCAAGAGGCTTTAAAAAATGTTTGACCAGGCTCACTCCGGGCATACTGCCTAGGAGTTACTCCTGCTTCACAAGGAGCAGCTAACAAAATTAATGAAATAGCCAGGCGTGGTGGCTCATGCCTGTAATCCCAGCACTTTGGGAGGCCAAAGTGGTGGATCATCTGAGGTCAGGCGTTTGAGACCAACCTGGCCAACATGGCGAAACCGTCTCTACTAAAAATACAAAAATTAGCCAGGCATAGTGGCAGGTGCCTGTAGTCCCAGCAACTCAGGAGGCAGAGGCAGGAGAATCGCTTGAACCCAGGAGGCGGAGGTTGCAGTGAGTCGAGACTGCGCGAGACTGCACTCCAGCCTAGGTGACAGAGCGAGACTCCATCTCAAAAAATAATAATAAATAAATCATAGTCAGATACAGAAACTAAAAAAAAAATCCCAGATACATAAACTCTTCAAACATGGTACTAAGAGAACTTTATTCCTTGATACTAAGTGACCTTCTATTCTAAATGTCTGTATTACATAAATAGTCACTCTTAATTCTATATTTCCACTGACAGGCTTGACTTTTTGATATGTATATGTTAATACCACAGAGAAAAACAATTTCAAACCATGCAATTTTGTTTTTTAACTTTTATTCAGTACATGTACAGGACTGTTACACAGGTAAACCATGTGTTACAGGAGGCTTGGTATACAGATCATGTAGTTATCCAGGTAGCAAGCATAGTACCCAATAGCTTTTATTTTTCTTTTTGAGAAGAGTCTTTATCTCTGTCGCCAAGGCTGGAATGCAGTGATGTGATCTCAGCTCACTGCAACCTCCTCCTCCTGGATTCAAGCGATTCTCCTGCCTCAGCCTCCCGGGTAGCTGGGACTATGGGAGCGTGCCACCACGCCTGGCTGATTTTTTTTGTATTTTTAGGAAAGATGGTGTTTCACCGTGTTAGCCAGGATGGTCTCGATCTCCTGACCTCGTGATCCGCCTGCCTCGGCCTTCCAAAGTGCTGGGATTACAGGCGTGAGCCACTGCACCCGGCCCCGATAGGTATTTTTTAATCCTCTCCCCCACCCTCCAGTTGGCCCTGGTGTCTGTTGTTCCCCTTTATGTCCATGTGTTCTCATTGTTTAGCTCCCACTTGTAAGGGAAAATATACAGTATTTAGTTTAATGTTCCATGTTAGTCTGCTTAGGATCATGGTCTCCAGCACCACCCACATTGCTGCAAAGGATATAATCTCGTTCTTTGTTATGGCTGCATAATATTCCATCATACCAGCCAGGCGCAGTGGCTCAGGCCTGTAATCCTAGCACTTAGGGAGACAGGCAGATCATGAGATCACCAGGTCAGGAGATCGAGATCATCCTGGCTAACACGGTGAAACCCCGTCTCTACCAAAAACACAAAAAATTAACCGGGCATGGTGGTGATCGCTACTAGGGAGGCTGAGACAGGAGAATGTCATGAACTCAGGAGGCAGAGCTTGCAGTAAGCCAAGATCGCGCCACTGCACTCCAGCCTGGGTGACAGAGCAAGACTCTGTCTCAATAAATAAATAAAATTCCATTATACTATGTAGTCTTA